CTCTATAAAACAGAACCCGGACATTACAGGCTTAACTTTTTTGGTCTCTTGTTTGTGCCATGATTGGCCTGTTTGTCTGCGTAGGTTTTGTAAACATTGCTAACATGATCTTTCAAAATCTTAAGCGCATCTGTGCCCTTTGGCATAATCTCAATCAGTTTTCTTGTAATTTCATCTGTTCTTGGATGCCTTGAATCTGAGAAAATTTATTATTTTTTGGTCATTTTTTGTGGCTTGATATCATGCTATGAAAGTGACCTTTGGACTTTGGGAGTTCTATATGCTTGAAAGGTACGACTGTAACACTTACCAAGGATGTAACAGGTTGGTGACTTTGAACTGCATCTAAAACGGGCTATTGGATCCACGAAGACATCCGTATCCACTGCACTTCCCATTGTTTCCCCTTCCACCGCTCCTCCCATTCCTAGCATGCCAATGTCAGACTCAAATCCTGCTCCTCAGCCTTCTGCGCTTCCACCAAAACCCTCTCCAGCACCAAGCAGTCCGTTTTCATATGTCTCATCTGTTAAGGAATCAAAACTGGCCTCTTTGGAAGCATCAGGTTTCAGTGGATATGCTATTGTGTCATCTCCTACGGTACATTTTTAACCCAATTTTTGTGCAACTCAAAATTGTTTTAAGCGTTTCCTTCTCTGATTGGGGATTCTGCCTAGGTTGGCTCTTTTCGAAGTGGCAGAACAGTGAAAGGGAAGAAACAGCCTCCCACCTGTAAAGAGGTCAGTCATAGAATCAAAGTTTTTTAAGCTAAACTTCTTTTTTCCTCAAATATCAATTTTTTCCTGCTTCATTTAGAACTAAAATTTTAAATAGCATGTATGATCTTAGTCGAACATGGTAAATTCCATTTTTTTTTTAATGATGATCTTAGTCGAACATGGTAAATTCCATTTTTTTAATAAAAATATTCAGGGTGCTGTAATCAAAGAAGGGCAGGTCATCGGCTACTTGGATCAGTTTGGCAACGAGCTTCCAATTAAGGTATTTATGTTGATTTTGCCTTTAAGAAATTTTCTGTTCGTATAACACCTGCTTGATATTTTGTATGCAGTCGGATGTTGCTGGAGAAGTACTGAGGATATTGTTCAAGGATGGAGGTAATATTTATTTTTCAACCAATACATATTAGATGTAACAATTATTTTTGATTGTTTGCGAATATATATGGTCAGAGGTAGTCCTATTGAATATAACGAAAATAAAGAAAAAAGAAGGGAAAAAACAAATTTTTGTTTGGAATTATGCTTTCTGGTTTATTTTCTTCCATGCATGCTAAGGGTGAAGTGACCAATTCCGAGTCTTTTGGTGGCAATTTGACATTGCATGACAGTTCTTATAAGATTTTGGTTCCATAATTCGGTAAAAAATGTCCACACTCCATTTTTTTTGTTTAAAAAAATTTCTGTTAACTTGCAAGTTCACCTAATCAATTGTAATAATGTCATGCAAAATGGTTGGGTTTCATTCTTTTAATTACCTTCATTATGTCTAGCATCGTAATTGTTACTGGTTAGAAACTTCATTCTGCAATTTGTCAGTTTTACTGAGAAATTTTTTTGCACACTCGCACTTCTTTACTAAAGTTTCCTTCTCTAACAGAACCAGTTGGTTATGGAGATCCACTCGTTGCAGTTCTACCTTCCTTCCATGGAATCAAGTGAGTTGCGTGCCTCAGCAGCACTGTTGTTGTTTGTGATGAAACCTGCTCAAAAATGCTTGTTCGTTTGCCTATTTTTTTTGCCCTTCACTTCAGCAGCCATGACTTTGTTGTAATGAGTTGTAAATCATGAGAAAATTATTGAATTGGAGATTTTAGAAATAAATTTTATGCATCTGCCAAGGCCTTATCATTTATTCTCCTGTTGTATCCAAAGTATTGTACACTCTATTTTTGCGGTACTCAAGGAGCACGATAATTGACATCATGTTCATTAGTTTCTCTTTTATCTGTGTAATTTGATTCAGTGACAGAAACATCTTTTTTTTGCTCTCAAGTTTGCTTCTTTAACATGCAAAATGTTTCAGAAAGATCGAGGGTTTTGATCGTCTGGGCGGCTGGATCCATCTTGTTAGGATTATTGTTAATTTATTTATTTATTTTCACTTTTTAAGAAATGACGCCACCTCGCTACGCAGGTTTGCATGAACTACTTCGCTGTTGTATTTTTGATTGATGGTACAAGGACTTCTGATAGGAATGTATGCAGGCATGAGACTATGCAGGTTTGTGGCGTTAATATTTTTTTTGGTAATTTACTGTTGACCCTAAAAAAAAAAAAGAAAAAATTTCTAAAACCTCAACTACTCCCATCTCTTGAAGGAGGAGAATATTCCGTCCGGACATTGCACGTCTGGACGGGTAACTGCCGACACAGGCACGACAGCCGTGCGAATGTTCAGATGAAATGGGGGGCTTTGTCTAATAATTGCTACCACTGTTTATTTTACTATTAAAAAGTAATTCGAAAACTTTCGGGGGAGGAAGGATTGGGTCAGCTGCAGAAAACCCATGGAGAAAAGATCCCACTGCTCTCCTTCCCGCTGCATCTTGCCTTAAATTTATATTTTTGCTTCTTGGCTGCAGTGTATCATGACACTGACCGACTTGTCTTTTAAGATAGTTGAGAACGTTAGCATTCTCCGGAGACTTCAAAATATGTGCGGAAGTTGGAAGGCAATCAAAATTTCTGGTGAGATTGGACTTTATGAATAATAAAAAATAGACTTTGGACTTTTAAAATGATATAAAATTAATAGAAAAATGTATCTTAAAAAAATACTGAGTAATACTTGAGCTATAGTTGAAGTCATTTCAAAAGGACAAATTGAATGCACTTGAGACTTGCACAAGAGCCATGAAAAATAGAATGACTGGTTATTTAATATAATTGGACTTTTCTTTTGCTTCAAATTCAATCATATTTGAAGATGATTGATAAATAATATATATATATATATATATATATATTATATTATATGGACACACACACACATACACACATACATATACTTTTTTTTTTTCAAAAGGAAATCGATATTTGGTGCGCCTGCGCACCCCATGATGAGAGCCCGCACCATCTATCAAAAATTTCAGAGCACCTTCGCCACGGTGGGATCGAACTCTTGACTTGGGGGGACTTACAGTGACCCCACCACCAAGATGTCATGACTTGCAACACATATATATGCATATAAATAAAAACACACACACACACATTTTAAAAGAATGAATCGAGACTATTATACGAGCTTCGAGCATCCCCAATTTGCCTAGTAATTTGAGTACCACACCCTCCACTAGGGGGAATCGAACCCCAGTCCAGAGGAGCCTTACAAATGACAAACAGATGCCCGACCAACTAATCTGAGTACGTGGGTATAAGATCGTTCATATCAGGGGTTCAAATACCCTTTGATACAGTTGGCCTTAAGGAGGTGATGCTCAAATTGTTTATTTCAACACACACACACACACAGTGTGTGTGTCAGTGTGTGTGTCTGTGCGCACACCGCGTGTCTATATTAATGATTCATACCTAATCTAACACAACCTAACATATACTATCAAGCTAAAAAAATTAAATTAAAGCTATAGACTCTAATTGATTATAACCTTTTAACTTAAACAACCTAAACTCATCAAATACAACACAATCTTAACACTAATCAATTCAATGGTAAATTGAATAAGCATTCAACTCAAAGCTTAAATCTAAAAACCAAGAACATCCCGAGTAACCGTGATTCTAAAGCTCACAGCACCCATGCTGATTAGCCAAAAAGCCCATTTGGGTGTGCCTAAGGTCTTGGCGCATTAAGTCCAACCCACCAAGTTCACTCAGAGAAACTTGGGTTAGTCTATTTAACTAATCTGATAGCATCTATCCTCCAACCTGAGCTATGGCAAATTAATTGTTCTCCAATGTATCAAATAAGCCTCACCAATGGACGAGGAAATTCTTCCTTGGATCAAGCTAGCCTTGGCCACCCTACACATTAGATCTTATAATTGCTCAGATCATTGGGCTTCATGCAAACAATCATCAACTTCCGTTGGAGAAAGAATACAATCCTGACCATCCATTTTCTATATAAAAAAATTGCGCCTATGTCCTCTCACGAAATCATACAGGCAAATCACGCACGACCGTGTATAGGGGTGTAAACGCTGACCATCCATTTTCTATATAAAAAAATTGCGCCTGTGTCCTCTCACAAAATCAATCAGGCAAATCACGCACGACCGTGCAGAGCTTGTGTTCGTGTTCGGTTTGTTTGAAACAAACTCGTGTTCGAACTTGTTCGTGAAGTCACTATTCGAATTTGTTTCTTAATGAACGAGCTGAACACGAGCTGTTCGCGAACGACGAGCCAGTTTGACATCCCTAATAATAATATATATAAATAATATATTATATTAATTATATAATATTTATATTAGTATATTGCTACTATAGTATATTAATATATTATTATTATTAATTTATTATATATTATAATTTATAAAATTTAATTTTGTAAAATATCATAAATTATATATATATAATTATTTTAAATTATTTTATATTTTGAACAATAACTATTCGAACACGAACAAACTTATCACTGTTCTTGTTTGGTTCGTTTAACTAACCGAACGGAAAAAAATTGTTCACGTTCGTCTCATTTACTTATGGAACGAATCAAACACGAACACATTGACAAACCGAGAACGAACTATTCGCGAATAACGAGCTTTTTTTAACAGCCCTAATCTTGTATGTGAAGTGATGTTGGCTGACGCCACAATGCATTCAAGATTAATTAACTTAAATTAAAATTAATTAATCAATGAATTAACTAAATACCAAAAAAATTGTAACAAATTCAAGTAAATTCTAAAAATAAAAGGGGATAATGCTTTTCTCATAGAGCACTATCCATTAAAAATGAAACTTCTAAAATTTATTTAATATTTTGTATGTAAATGCTGCTTAAAAAAATTAGTCATCCCACGTCTTAATTAAGGAAAAATTATTGTATCAATAGTCTTGATACAATTTTGCATCTAGACTTCAATCAAAATCCCACCGTATTAAATTTGTGTCTATCTCTACATGTGACAAAACCTAATTAAGCTCATGATTCAATAATTTCTCCTTATTAAGTGGGCCCAAAATTAATGTGTTATAAAAATTTATCCCGGGAAAATACATCTCTGCTTTACGCTCAAGTCTTGTAAAATGTAATATACCCAGTGCAGCAAAAGCCGTCATGGAGCTCGCCCTGAGCGGGAACTCCCTTAAAACCCTCCACCGCTGCGTCACCTGCCTCGCTCGCATCGGCTCCGAGCTCGTCCTGCATGGTTCGTCCTCCCAGGTTTTTTTTCCTCTACTCGCTTCTTCTCTCTTCCTATCTCTCTCTACACTTTTTCTAACCCTTACTTCTCCACTATGCCGGCAGCTGGCCTTCCACACACTCAACTCCTCCCGCTCGGCTTACCAGTCAGTCACTTTCAAGGCCGACTTCTTCGATTCTTACTCCCTTCTCTCCTCGTTGGTACCGGAAATTCGTTGCAGTGTCCTCCTCAAATCCGTTTGCACGATCTTTCGCACCCCAGTGCACTCTCTCTCTCATCTGTGCATTCGCCTTTCTTCTCCCGACGCATCCAAGCTCCAATGGACGCTCCATTGTCAGAATGGTACGACATCATTTTTTCCTCTCTCCGTTTTCCTGTATTTTTCCCCATTTACCAATCCTTTCCTGCTTTTCCCCCAGGGGCGAGGAAGACCTACTGGATCTCCTGCAACGTGGAGCCCGAAATCCAGCAACTTTCCCTTGATCGGCGAAGACTGCCAACCAGCTTTGTCGTCAGGCCGCGGGATCTCACCCGGCTGCTGTCGAATTTTCAGTCGTCGCTGCAGGAGATAACCATTATAGCAACTGATCCGTCCACGGTGCCTTCGGATGCCGAGGAAGAGATTGGAGGGAAAGCGGTGGAGCTACGTAGTTATATTGACCCCGCCAAAGGTTTTCACTTTAGACGTTTTATTTTTTGTATTACAGTTAGTCCTATTGATCGCGTTTGGCTGGCTTTATGAATTGCTGATAGATAATAGTGACGCAACGCTGCATACCCAGCTTTGGATTGACCCGTCAGAGGAGTTTTTGCAGTATCAGCATGTTGGAGATCCCGCAGATGTTACGTTTGGCTTGAAGGAACTGAAGGTGATGTCTTTTTATGCTCTTTTTAATTTTTTTTTAAATGTTAATTTTTCTGTTATTAAGCTTTTTCTTAAAGGGTATTGGTTGATTTACCGCTGCACTAGGATCTGCATAGCTAGGGGAGTCTGGGAAAGTGGTAGAATCAGTAGAAGTATAAAGGGGGGGTGCAGTTCTCTGGTTGGTGCTTGATTGTCAAGGTTTGGAAGCTTATATAGTTTCAACTATATTGAAAGCAAATCAAGGATAATTTTTGTCTCACGAGCTTCTGAATTCAAATTGCTTTTAAATTCTTTAGCTTAGGCGATTTTGTTATGTCCTATATTCATCTTTTCATTAATATTCATTGTTTTACTTTAAGGAAATTTAAAAATCAAGTAATTCAGAGAGTAAAATAATTGATTTATTTTATGACCGGGGTGATCTTCGAGGAAATTGTCTTCCTCTTCTCATTGACAACCTCAGAATGTATTTGTTACTTCAGCCATTATCATCATCATTAATGTTTCATACTCTTTGTATTGTTTAGTCACTTTGACCCATTTATTGTTTAATATTTAGCTGATTTTTTCGGATGAAACAATGTATTATCAGCTGCTAGTTAGTTATGATTTTATTAAATGCTTATGTGACTTTTCTCTATTTCCTGAAACCTATTAATTTGGGAAGAGAGCTGAGGCAAAGCTGTTGTCGGCTCAACACTATTTGTCAATCATGCATTGTTGCTGGTGGTAAATTAATTCCCATGGAGCAACAATACATCTATAAGATTAACTTGATAGCATAGAGACAAGAAGGCCAGTAATCCTGTAAAAGGCAATAAATTACATTTCTATATTTCTATTACATAGACATTTACATATACAATGAGAATGCACCTAAGTGGCTTTAGCGCTTTCTCAAATTTGGATAGCAGAAAGAAATTAGATAGATATATGTTGTTGCTCAGCGTAGAAGTGAAAGAAGCATAAAGAAAGGCTAGACACATGCCATGGAAAGTCTTATCATTATCGCCCTCATAAGTCTTATTCCAACAAATTTGGGTTGCTCTTATAAACCTCTTTTTTCATGTGTTATCCTATTATTTGCAAATTAGTTTAAATAATTTTTATTCATCATTTTGCAGATCTACTTTTTTTTTTTTCCTTGGTAACCCTCACACCTAATTTACCTACAATCTAAAGTGTGCATTTTCTACCTTTTGTTGTACATTTACAAACCACCTAATCTAATTTTTAACTATCTTTAATAAATAATGTCATTAAAATCATATCTTTAATATAATCATTTTTAGTTTATCTTTTTAAGCTTATCCATGCATACATCCTGAAATTCTAATTTCCATCACACTTAACTATCAATTATTTTCTTATTGCCTAACATTTGGATCCATACAATGTAGTCAAATTAATTGCAATTTTTATAAAATTTGCTTCTAATTCATGTTATTTTATAATTGCGTAATACTCATGAGACACTTATTTTTTTTTAACGATATAGCTTTAACTCTAAAAATATATCATCATTTATACCTGCATTATTTTAAATAAAAGAATAAATATATCCAAACCCTTGCACTTATGCACACTTTATGTTTTAATACTATTGGACTATAATTGTTCATGTCACTCTTAGTAATCTGCATATTACTTGCTCAGTTTTTGTTTTACTTGCCCTAAATCTTACATGTTTTTAATTTTTATTTTATTTTTCTAACTTTTTAATTTTTTTTTAGTAAATATCTCACATAGAATAATATCATTTATAAAAGTATATGCACGAAAGAAACTCTATAAATTTTCTTTATAAGCATCTTTATAATATTAAAAAAATAAAGAGAAGACAAAAATTCTCCTTATACTAGACATCAAATAACCATAACATTTATAGGGATCGAGAAATCTTTTCATGAAAAGATCTTATAATCACTAAAACAGGAAGTGAACATTACAAAATTTGAAATAAAGATTGAATGAGACAAGGTTCATTTGAGTCCAATTGGCTAATTCTGCATGCTAGCTAGCTGGAATACAGTATATTGTATTATCCAATATACTGGTGATAATTAGCTTGATTTCCTTATATTGCATTCTCCAATTGCCCCTAGTCAATTCTAGAATACCATGTATAGCACCTCAAAATACCAAGAATTGTTTTAGCAAAAATGCAGCATATAAGACTTCCCTAAGTGATTAATTACACCATGCATAGTGTTAATATATGCTTAAAAGCACCATCATTCATTCCCCTATTCTATACAATCTTTCATGATCAAATCTACTATGATATATTCTCTAGATTTTTTGGTATTACTTTCTTACATTACCCATCAATCTTTAAATTAATTAAAGGAAGGGACTTTGTGAGGAAGTCAAAATTTGATGTTGTGAAGTAATATAAGCACCAAAATTTTCTTATCAGTATTTTCTTGATTGAAATGAGCTCACTATGGTCGATTCGGTTGTATAGTAATCTTAGAAATGCTATTTACAGTTTGATTGTGTCAGAACATGTTTAGTGCTTCATTCACTGAAATAAAATTTTCATTGAGAAGTCACTATAAAAAATATTTTCATAAATAATATGAGGCTTTACTTCAAATTACACGTTTTTAAAAATTATTTTCATAAATAATATGAGGCTTTACTTCAAATTCTACTTCGACACGTTTTTAAAAACAATGACTTGCCTTTTAGTATAACTTGTTATTAAATATCCTTGTAAAGTTCTTAGAAGTAAGTTTGTAGTCTATATTTGAATTTGCCCAATCAAAATTTATGAAATCTTTATCAATACGTGAATAATCATTTTTTTATTTCAAGTTTGAAATTTGGATGAACTAAATTAATAATTGAATCGATATAAGGATAAGCATCTCTTAGTGTCAACTTAAGAGTCGTATACCTTAATTTGAACCAACATAACAAAGAGAACGAGAGACTTAGAGCGAGGGATAGATTGGAGATGAGAGTGGGAGACCAAGTGATTTTGCGTGCCCTAGTTGATCAGTGGAGAAGGAAGTCATTGGTTTTGGGTGCTGGAGGATTCAAAGTTTGTATAGTTGAAGGAGGAAGCAACGTCATGTCCTTATCGAAGGAAGGAGAAGGAAGGAAAAGACAACGTTGAGTGTGAGGAAGGGAAGCTGGCAGCTCACGTGCGGTGTCGTTTGAGGAAGTTTTGTGCGACGAAGGAAGGAGCGACTCTACTTACGGGTTGGACCAAAGTGTAGATTGGTCTCACAATCGAGTCGAGCCTCGCGTGTAGTAGAAGAGGAAGGAGGGATGTCACGTCTGTGCGGGTTAGGACAGGCGACCAAGAGTTAAAGGTCAGTATAAGATTTTAAGTTAAGTTATTTAATAATAAATATATATATATATATATATATATATATATTTTAGTCTGTGTGCTTATTAATTAATGTTAATAGAAAACTTTATTGAATTAGGACTCAAGGTATAAGATTTTAGCTTGGAAGGGAGAAGTAGGAGAAGTGTGAGAGCTAAAGGAGGGAGATTGATTTGAGCAAACCCCGAGAAGGTAAGTTTGGGTTTATATTATAATTTAATATATATATTTTGGTTTTCAACCTTTTTATGTCTTTGCTTTATCTGGGTTCTGTGTGTGTTGTATTGTATGAGTTGAGCTTTATTTTAGGTTTATATATATATATATTGAATAACTAAATAAAGCTAATTAGGATTACATAAAGTAAAATCATTAAATTAATACTTAAATAATGTAAAGTTAATATTTGATTAAAATAATGGAAATAAATTATATTTTAATAATACAAATACCCATGTTTATTATAAATATCAATTTTAGAAGAGCCGAGATTAAAATAAATCCAAAAATGAATAAATCTACATCGAGGTGAGTAGTTCTCTTAAATTATACTATTGTTTTTGTTCCTCTTCTGAACTAGTTGTATGAATTGTTATTCATACTTGATTAATGAATTTTCTTCATCTATGCTTAAATTTTATCAGTTTTTGTGATATGAATAATTGTAGTACCACATTATGAAATGTTTTATGCATTATAGTAATAAATATTTTATATTGAGTGACACGAATTTGTTAATGAAATGAACTGCATAAATTGATTGTATGTATATGCTTGACTATGATAATATTTTCTCTCGATAATATTAGTTGGGGAATATTAATGTACCCATACACGTAAATAAAAAAAAATATTCCCTTAACTAGTATAATTTTTGGATGGTGCTTCTGTGATTGTTCTATAGATATAAAATAATATAAAAATGTTATTGATATATTATAACACCTTCAATATTGTGACATATCGTGAATGATCATATTCATAAATTATCCAATATTTTTTACTGATTTATTAAAATTTTAACTGGCATGACATTGTGTTATTATAACCTACGAGTGTGAGCATTCATTAAATTTATTTAGCTCACTATTGTTTTAAGCTAATATTTCATGTTTAATTAATTGATTTAAAGATGAGCGACAAAAGAAGAAAGTTTTATAGTAGATGTGAACTTGACGTAAGGTAAATTTAACTGCTTCAGTTTAATTTTTTTTATCTATAGTGGCTCTTTCATATGTTAATTAGTTATAGAAAATGAATATGAAATAATTAATTATCCACCGTCCGACCATCTGTACCCACTTTGATTACTTCCAAACCGCTGACTGGCTATTGACATTGGATCCATAAGAGTGTTTGCTAGTTTACATCATAACATTACTTCTCTTTCAAATGATCAAGAATATATATTTGTTAATAATAATGATACTTGGTGAGATATAGCCTTCTTTCTTCAAGAAATATTTGAGCTTCTTAGGTATTTTATTTTAAACTTTATGGTGGGTAACAACCTCCTTCCTATAACTAGCCACAAATTAAATGACCATAATTGTCTTCAATCATTGCGATTCATTATGTTTATCTGAGAAAATGGTAAAGAAGATAAGATCAATGGATCTATGACAACACCAGCAAAGGAGAACCAATGTACCAAACATGAAAATTAGAAAAATAAAATGATAATTTCTTGGCTCATCAACTTCATAAATAATTAAAGAGAAGAATATTCTTATGAGTCATGACCCGATGTAGGGTTTGGAATTAACTAGGGTGGGAATAAACAGTCAGGCTGTGAAATTAAGTTCTTAATTATTCTATTTCTATCAATAATAGTTTAATATCAAGTTATTAATTGAAAGAAAAACTGAAGAAAACACTTTAATTAACAATTAAAAATTTTTCTTTCGAGTTACTGATATCGCATTCTGTACACATTAGCTCATCTAATATTCATCTTATTCAAAAGCTTAAGACTTGAAAAAAAATTATTAAAATAATCAAATGAGTTATTTAAGATAACCTAGTGGAGTTATATATTTCTAAGTTACAATAATGCAGGGAAAAGAAAATAATATGCATATTGGTCTTTCCTAATATATATTAGAAAAACATATATAAATTTATAGCATATATTCATAGATGTTTGCTCATGCAAGAAATCTAAAATTTCTATGTCCATTTTCTTTTACTTTATTTTTCAAGGTGTAATATCTTAAGTTTTAATATATTTCATACTTTTAACTTTCATCTCTATTTTAGGAGTACCGTCAAAACATAACCTAATACAACATTGACCTTGAAGTTTTGCATTTTGCATTAAAATAACAACACAATTACAAAAATAATAAAAAAAAACACAAAATTTTTCCCTCAAGGCACTCACAAAATAAGCCCTATCCTCCTGTAAAATCAAAAAAAGCGAATCATTTGCATTTACATGATTCAAAAGAAAATAACTATCTAAAGCCTTCTTTGCACAATTATGAGGCGACTATGTTGCTTTCTCTATTGGTATTTTGAAACAAAACTTGCTTAGACTTGAGCAATAAACCAATATTTGGATTGTTCGGAGCGGTGTGTATGCTTGAAGTAGTCGATCACATTAGAGTTGCCCCCCTCAATGATGATACCCTTTCCTTCGGTCATCTAGTTTTCCATGAGCTTGTGGAGTGATAAAACTGCTATTATTTTCATCTGCGTTTTGTTCCAATGCAGAAACTTATGGCCCATGCCACAATTATGTTTCCTAGCTCACCCCTAATGAGAATTTTGACTGATATTATTTTGTCAGCACAGTGATTAATGGTATAAATTACACAATTGCTTTAGGTGAAAATATGCGTACGTGTTCTTGACCGATATTCTCGCTTTGACACCCCGGTTAACGATCTAAACATCACAATTGTTTGGGGTGATAAGATGACATCTACTTGTACGAGTACATTGATGTCTTTTGCCTTGACCATAAAGAGTGAACTCATCTTAACATGCGTATACAAGCATTCATACATACATTATTTCATTTTTCATAACATACATTATTTTCTTATGAGATACTCTATATTTATTTACTAATGAATAAATGCGCTCTTACTAAATCTATGTCATGAAATAAATTGATATGTTTTAAGGAAATTAATATGCAACTATTTATGCAGTAGCATTAACATGTATACTTTCTTATAAGTGCTATTTATTATACATAGTTTTTTCTGTCTAACAATATGAATAATATGTTGTACTTTAAATCTAACTTAGCTAGAGCATAAATAAAATCAAACACATGTTTAGAAATAATAAAAATTATCGAAATTTAAAAATATAATCACTAACCTCAAGCTAGTTGGTTTATTTCTTTCTCATTGGAATCTCTATTTCTTCTAGCAATTTAACGATTTTGATTCTTTCAATTCATAAGTTTTTCAACATCTTATTTCTGAAATTAAATATTACAATTAATATAATATTAAATAATATTAATTTACACATTGCTTTTGAAAATAATGTCCCAACCTTTCTTTACTATTGCCAACTCTTTTCGTTAATCCAAAATATTTTTCTTCCTATTGATTTTGAATCCTAATTCAATACTTAAAAATATGTGATTAAGAATTTTTAACTTAGAATTGAATCCGTACCTCCTTAGTTGTCAGCAAATTACTTCTGTACCCAATCCAATATGCTTTTCGCTTCTTAATAATGTCGCAACTGCTTCTTCCAATCCTTTTTCTAATGCTTATTAGCATTAATTAACATAATCCTTTATTAAATCCCGAGTGTGAATTAATTTAATATATATAAAAATAGCTCAAAGAAAAACAAACCCTAAGCTTATTAAATAGCCCAGTCCTGCTCTTACCCTTTGGCTTCGATGTCTGCAAAGCCAAAGCTGCCCTCACACGCTAGGGCTTCCTCTCTTCCTGCAAGATGCTCTAGTTGGCTATTTCTTCCTTTTGCTAGCAACGTAGCTCGATTTCCCCTTCTTTCTAGCTGCTCGGGTCAGTTCTCCCTCATCTTTTCTTCCTTCTTCTAGTTGGATCCACTTGATTCAGAGCACACAAGCTTCCTCTCTTTCCTTTTTTTCCATGCAACAGCTTTGCCTGAGCACCCAGGCAACTAGTGAACCGAGCACTAGGAAATCCAACACCCTGAATGGGCGCAGTTGCGTCGCGGGATGGTCATTTCTAGGTTCGAAAATAGAGCATTCAGAAACTTAGTGATCTGGATGGGCAATCCAATGCCGAGAAGAATGACTCTAGACATAGCACATGGAAAGGCCCCTCCCGGGAGTGGAGCTCCAGCACCAGGAATGATTTCTCTCTTGATTTGGATTTAAGTCCTGGACTTCTATATGAGGAATGCATCTCTCGCAGTGCATGTAACAAGAGCGCGACAGAGTGAGCGGTGCGACCAGTTCTTTGCTCTTGTGCGACTGAGACAGGATCGTTTGTGAGTTCCAAGCTTGTAGAGAACTTTGAGTGTAGTGTAATATGTATATTTGTCCTCATTTCATAATGAAGTTTTTAGTGGCTGTGCTGTGGTCTAACACCCAATTTGAGAAATGTGATAAAATATTAAGACTTATATCCCAAATTTCGTATCCCTCATAATTTGGCCCAATCAATTTTATAAAATTCCACACGTTGAATTGATCAATTTTGATAGATAGCACTATACATGAATTTCAAATGTGTGAGAAATAAAGTTATGAAATAAAAATTTAATTAACCTTAATTAATCCCTTAATTAATTTATTATTTCCTTCATTGTTCCCAATTGACATCTCGCATACTTAGGAGCACATGTAAACCCTAAGAAGAAAACTACACCTCGCCAAAAATGAGGCCAACAATGGTATGAGTTACAATCTTTTAAAAATCAAAATTATTGATTCCATGTAGAATGTAATTTCCTCATTTCCTCGCTCGTGTTATTTGTAACAATTTCCAATATCTAAAGACGTTAAAAATAAAAAAACTCGTTATCATATCCTATGTTAAGTGTGAAATATTTTATTCGTTTTAATTTCAATGGCATTCTAAGAGAATGTGACCACTCCGAAAGCATTTTGTTTGAATGTAATAAAGAACAAAGAATAGCTATAAAATTTTTCTTGACATTATAAATAATCTTGATGAAATGGGAGAAAATTCATTGGTGAGAAATTGTTCCAATTATTTTGCTGCTATGGCAGTCCTCAAATTTCATAAGAGTATTCTTTGCTTCTTTCTACTCTTTTTTTGGTCTTATTTAAATATATTGAAATAGTATAAAACATGTTTTCTTGATCAGTAAAGTTCTAACTGATTCTTTCTAAAAAACAGGCATTCCTTTCCTTTTGTGAAGGATGTGAAGTTGACATTCATCTATTCTTTGAAAAAGCTGGAGAGTATGATGTTGCAATTCATGTTTCTCATGTACTTTCTGTTAACAAATTCTGTTGAAAGATGTAGACTTTGACTGGGCTCTCGTAATATTTGTCATGCATGAGAAGGCCTATTTTAATGGCACCAAGGTTTGGATTTGATGATGGAACTAGCTCCAATTTCGATGCAACACTAGTTCTTGCGTCCTTGCTCATCTCACAACTTAATGATACAAATGCTTCCGATTATCCACATGCTGGTCCGGTGCCCCAAGGCAGTGATGTTCGAAGGAATTCACAATCAAGGCATGCTAGAGCTGCTGGTCCATCATCAACTTCTGAACATCCTTCTGATCACACCAAAATCTGGTCTGATCTATCAGGTAATTACAACATACACTTTATTTCAGTTCAGTGAATCTTCATTCAGCTAATGATTATTTAATTCAGGGTCTGTTGCAAGAAGCGATGAATATGGCAGAATCAGGCAGGCACCTACGGAAGAAAATTTAAATATGCATACGTTTGATTTTGTTCAGAGGCCTGAAATGATGAACGTATCAAGGATACTGCGCCCAAGGGAGACTGAAACTGATATGTATCCTTCTATGGCTTTTATATGTTGTGGTTTCAGTGCCTCCATTTAGGCTATACAAACAAACGGTGCAGTTTATTTTGTGTTGTGCATGCTCTTCCATTTTTTATTTTCTTGTCTTATCTGTTTATAACTCCATCTCTATGGCTTGACCAGCATGTTGGACTTGTAGTTCCGGTCCATCAAAATTGTTGTTGCTCTTAAAAGGACTTTTTCTGATATCAGTTGTGGATTTGATTTGTCAAATTTATTTAGGTTTAACTGTTCTTCCCATCATGATATTGCAGCGAAGTGAACTGTTCTAAATAGCATTTTCATCCTTTCTGTTCCTATCCGATTGCTTGTGGTTCCTATAACACGCCATAAAAAAATAATGGTCCATTAAAGGTTTAGTGCTAAATCTGCTTCCCATGCTTAATTGATGGACCATCTTAGAGCACTATGTTAATTTGCTTTTATTCTTTATATGATATCATAGGATTGAAAGTTGAAATTGTTGGATCCTACTTTATCAGGATTACTACGGAATTTTGTTAATTTGGGGAAGATATAGAATGACAGATAGAGATGATTAGAAATGAGAACTGAGAGAGGAATAAAACCACTATAATGCTTAAGAGGGTACATAATAGAAGGAATGTAGAACCAAAAGATTTGGGACCATACTTACTTTTAACTATAGGACAAGCTATTGTAATGCAGAAAAATAGAAGGGACTTATAGCCCAAATATAAACTCGAACTGAACTAGTAATCAGTTCTAACCCCAATGAAGTGGCTGTGCTCCTGCTGATAACCTCCGAGTTGCTCTTAGATTTTGGTTGTTCAGCAAGTTCGGTAAGGTTATTGAGTTTGTACCATGTTAGCCTAAACGAGAATCCCTTTCTTTAATCCATTAGTCGAGCCCCTTAAGTACCTACTTGGCAATTCCATTCCGAGTCCTGTTGGTGAGCTCCATTCTGAAACCTTTCGGGTGTTTTTATCTTGAGCCTAACTCAGAAGCTTATTTCCTTGCCTTTCATTTGGGCAAGTTTACATTTGGTTTATGCCTAAATGAGTTCTTCAGTTCTCTTTTTATTGTACCTTGGAAAATTATGTTGCAAATGGACATGGTTTCATCAAGATACCTTTGAGAAAGCAATATCAGTTCCATTCCGGATAAACTCTAGTGATTAACACGTAAGTTTCAGCAGAGGTTTCCGTGAATATTCATCATCTGCTTTTTACACACACACACACGCACATATGATGAAGATACTTTTTCAAAAATTTGTTGATCCTTGTTTTCTTTGCTCTTAGGGACCTTAAGACCCAGTAACCCCGAAAACTTTATAGACACCACACGAACCTGTAAAAAGGTTTAAAATGGTTTGGAATGATTTCATATTAACTCCCTTGTTATAGAGACTTTTAGGCGATTGAGTCTTATTGTACATATTCCTCTTAGTGTCCCTTAGTGTATATATTGCTCACCACAATGCTGGCAGCTAAGAGCAATTTGACATGGAGCACCAAACCTTCGAGGCTGAGGAATTTGGCGTGTTTATCAACCCCCACAGCAGAAATCTTGATCCACTTCTAAGCGAATGGGCTTGGTCATCACTATCCATCTTGTATGGGTGGAGAAAAATTGACCAAACCTATTTTTGAAGTCCTTCATTGTGAAAAGGTGTTGAAAGATAGTGATACACCAAGGGATCTTCTCTTTCCACATATAGGAGATCAAGATAACCATGCTCGTATTGGAATTTGACATGATACAGGATGGAACGAGTCTAGAGAAATTCAAGATATCTACTTTGCTTTACACTGATGATCTTAGGCCAAATCAGATTTGATTGGCATAGAAACACAACTCCTCTTTGGAAAAGGAGTCGGGGAACACACTCTACGTGGGAGGACGCATCTTCAAATTTCTTCTTGTCATAGCAGTAAGAGTGACACTTCTCTTAGACAAGTGTTGGACAATGAGCTGTAGGTGTGCTCGCTAGCTTGAAACACATTTTTACATGTCATCAAAGAGGCAATAAATACTTACAGAAGTATTTAGTGTGAGAGACTAGTGATATTAATTTTAGGGTGATAAAAGAATCCAATAAAGGCTAGGGATTTTATAGCGGGATAAATTAGGTTTTTTAGAATTACATCTCGTCCACCATAAATGATCGTATTTGCACCATATTTGTAGCCATCATAACCCCCATCACAACCTGCTCATATACCAAACAAACACTACAAACTATCAATGTGCATGTTTGTGTGAGAGTGAGAGAGAGATGAAAACATCCAACGAAAATGATAGAGATGATTACATAATCAAGCCAGAAAATGCATAGAGAAGTTCAAACATGTTGCGCTCTTTTTTTACATATTACAAAAAAGGCGAGTCCCTTGATAGCTCGCCAAAGGGTATAGATATATTATATACCAGAGAGTTTATTATGGCCTGCTACCATAGGGAAAACCCAAGGGCTAGTTCATTTAGTACATCCGCCAAGGTCGCTCTTCTTCTATTCAGCTTCTCCAAGACAAACTTGCCTAAGAAGTGGTTGTGCATAAAAGATTGTATGAAGCTGCTAACAATAGGGAATTCCAACCTCAACTCTTGAACTTTCTGATGGAAGTTTGAGAACCAATCATGATGAGGATATTCCTAGCCTTCAAGTATTAGTTTCTCAATGTTAATTTGACTACCATGAGTTGCTCCACTGTTTGCATGCATCCTCTCAAAGGAACTAGCAAATCCATTAACTCATTCATCTTAGCTCACAATCACTCTGGTGGCGTGGTGGGCTATTGCCACGCGATATGAGTGCTGTAGAAGAGTCACCGGGATCTTTTTTCATACGCTTATGAGGAGCAGGATGGTGTTTATTATTTTGTCAGTAGGAGGCATGGCAAAAACCTTGCAAATGACTAGTGTTATTTGCTTCGGCATCTCCTTGCCTCTCCGCTAAAGCTGCCCCAGTTGCGCCAATAAAAATGTTTGGTAACAGGTCCTTGAAAAACCATTATGAAACCTCCCCAAGCGGACATTAGAAATCTTTTATTCAAGCGTGAGATTTGCATATCACACTTGTGAGCGGCCATAACATCTAGACTCTGTGAGGTGTAGCCCAAGAACTTGCTTAAAGTGACATGGATGGTGAGTCCACTCGAATTCGTAGCCATAGGCCTTGCTCTGGGGATCTCCTTCGGTTGGGGCTGGCGACCTTACTTCCTATAGTCTCCTATTATTGTTTGTGAGTAGGATATTTTCATTGACAAGAGAAGGGTTATAATTACACATTACAAGAATCATGTAAAGGAAAGACATTCAGAAATAAACCACATAGGAAATACATGATTATGAAAAAGGAAGCAAATAAATGCTAATAATAACTGCAGCAGAAATATGTTAATTATTCTAATACACTCCCTCAATTTGAAGCATAGATATCGATCATGTTTAAATTGGATTTAATGTCATCAAATAACAGTCGATGAAGATTCTTAATAAGAATATCTACTGGCCTCTAGATGGGACAAATGAAATACAAATCTCATCTGAATCGAGTTTCTCCTTAATGAAGTGCCTGTCAATCTGTGGCAGGAAAGCATTGCTGGCAGCTACATGCTTCGTACGATCAAGCTGGATGATGCACAAAAAATATATGCATTTTTAAACCTATATTTTATATTCATTTTTGGTGATATTGCGCTTTAAAGGAATGCATTTTTCATGTTTTATGGCAGGTTGCTGATTTTTAGGACTTGAAGCAAAAAAGGAAGTAAAAATGCAGAATGGAGTCCAGAATTTCCAGCAGCGCTGACAACGCCATTTGACAGAGTGCAATGAATTATTTTACGGGCCACTGGCGTCGACGATGCCAATGTTGGTGCAAGACTGATTTCTAGAAGATTCGACGAATTTAGATGCTTTTTGAAGAGTTTTTGGATGCACCTATTGGAAAACCGACATTAGGCTCTATTTAGAGTGAAAATTGATCAGAAAAATATCTCTCTCGCCTCCCTTCCAACCACTTTAAATCCATTGGTCATTTAGTTCCTTAGAGTTTTGAGTTTTGTGATCAGTTTAAGTGTGAATTTTTTTCTAAGAGTTGTTAGAGATGGAGAGAAGTGAGAGATTTCTTCTTCCTTACATCTTCTAAGAGAGAATCAAGAGTCTTGTAAAGAGAGAAAAAATCCAAGAGAGGCTACAAGGGATTTGCTTTGAGAAAGAGTTACAGATAAGTGTTGTTTGTTTATTATTGTTGTATGAACTTTCTTTTATATATGAAATTTGTGTTTTGTTGTATCTTTCTCGTGATGTCTGAGTAATTTTCTTTATATTTCTTTCTACTTTGAGATATGGTGAAATAAAAAAATAATTTGGATGTACCAATTTTAAAATATAAAATAAATTATGATGATTTTTTCACTCTGTTCTTAATTTATTTTTCGATCTGGTCAATTGAAATGTTAAAATCTATTGTGAAACATATGATCTGGAAAATGAAGTATGAGTTCTACAACAGAGTGAGAATCACATTTAATTCCTAAGTGCAAATAAATAGGAATGGAATTAAGTGCAAATAAATAGGAAAATATACTTTGCTGGGCGTAGAATTGGAGATTTTAGGGCGACAGACTAAAATTTCAAATTTGATTTTAGTGTTTAAGAACTAAAACGAGCGCTAGCCTTCGGGGGAAGGGAAGTGGGAGCTATGGAGTGAGAGTCAGTATCCTCCCAGCCTAACCACGGATTTAAGACTAAACCTGAGATTAGCCAATGATTCTATATAACACTGAATCAGGATAGAGAATTAAAATTGTTTCTATGTGACACAATACAGATTTAAACCATTTATCTAATCTCATTTAACAAAAAAACTCATTGTAGAGAGAAAGATACTTTTTCATATTAGATAACTTCATCACATAAACATAGTTTGATAGTTACTGTTTTAAACTTTGCGTTACAGATTTGTTAGTAGTTAATAATTTAGTTTTGATAATACCTTA